CATGGTGGTGGTTTACTATATGCATGTCCACATTGTTAGTTAATCAAAGAATTGATTGGTCTGTGCTGTGTGTCTGAGCTTTCTGTGCATTCACTCCTGATATTCAGCCTGTATAGTTTAGTCTTCCCCCCTGCTCCCAAACTCTGACCACTGTCTCCTCCACTCAGTGAGACTTCTGGTTGCCATCTGGCTTCCCTCTCCTCATTTTGCAGCCTAGAAACTGCTTCCAGGCTTTTACCTGTAGTGATCAAAAGGCTGGACTCATTTGTTTGTCTTCTCTCAGGGATCACAGTCCTGTGCTGCCTGTTTTCCAGTGTGTGAAAGCCCTTGTTTCCTGAAATTTTTTCCATTGTTGTAGTAGTTTATAGTGGAAGGACATTTCCTGTAGCACTTAAGCCTTCATGGGTGGAACCTCCTTTAATATTTGAATAGTGACTGTCCCAAATAGTGCCAAGTAGAAACAGTTACCATTCAGATTATATTCTACTCCAAGTTATGATTAAATGTTTTGTGCTTTGAAAGAAAAGATATATAGACTTAGGGTTTTTTTATTTTTGGAAAAGGGGACATTTTAGAAGTCTCATTTTCTATTGTTTCCTTTTGGGTCCCATGTTGTATTCATAGGAATTTTATGATATACCCACTTTTAATTAAAATCTTTTTATTTTATTTATTTTTTAAAAAATGTATATTGATTTCAGAGAGAGAGGGAGAGAGAGATAGAAACATCAGTGATGAGAGTCATTGAATGACCGCCTCCTGCACGCCCCCTACTGGGGATTGAGCCTGCAACCCCGGCATGTGCCCTGACCAGGAATTGACCCTTGATCTCTTGGATCAGAGGTTGATGCTCAGCTGCTGAGCCACGCCAGCCAGGCTGAAATATTTTTATTGTTTTAGATTAGAGCTCCACTTCTTGCATTTATAGTTCATTTTTTGAGAGTGATCAAAAATTTTTAGTGATATTAAGATAGTTAATCTAATGACAGTTATGACATTCAGTGGTTGTAAAGTTCTTCATTGATTTCCATAGTAAAATGGAGATGATAGTGAGCTATAAGAGAATTAGTTCAGATAGTAGGATGGAAGTGTTTTTTTTTTTCTTGATACGGTATATGACATTTTTTAGTTTTTGGATCTGTTACCATGAAAACATTCCTTTTGCTTAATTCTCTACTAATTTCAGTTAGAGTTCTTAAATTTAAAAGTTGGTAAGAAGTTGATCTGTGTTACATATTATGGTCAAAGAAGATGTATCTTATGGTGGGGGCTATGTAAGGAATTGTTTGCATGAAAATGTTGTTTTGATAAATTTTTAGACCCCCAACCATCTAACACTTTTTACTCATTAACACTGACTCTGAACCTATTAAATATCTCTGAAAATGTATTATTTGAAAAATAAAGAAACAGACACTTTTTAAAAACCTGATTTTGTACTTGAAGTAAGAATTATGGCTACTGGCTATGCTAAAAGCATATCTAAGAGAGAGAAACTTAAGCTTAGTTGGAGAGGCATGTATAGCTACCTCCCTCAACTGCACATGTTTTTTCGGGACATTGGGGACAGGGGGAGAGATAGAGTTATAGTTTGTTGAAGACCAAGAAGGTGTTATTTGTCCTTTTAAAGTTTTTTAAAACAGTAGAGAAGAAATGCCACTGCTTTTCTCTACGTCAGAAATCACACATTGTTGCTGTTTCTAGTTAGAGACCTTGGGCAATAAGATTTTAATGAAACATATCTTGTGTATATTAGGGATGTTAGTGTGAACTAGCAAAATAAAGCTTCCACTGAAACATGTTTCTACATGCTCACTTGCTGGGAGTTCAAAAGCTCTGCTGAGGTTTTTGTGGCACTTACTACTCTCTAAAGGAAAGGTTGTCTAGGTTTTGAATATTTTTCTTTCCTTTTTTAATTGATTTTAGAGAGGAAGGGAGTGAGAGAGAGGGACATCGAAGAGAAAAACATTGATCAGCTGCTTCCTGCACGCCCCCTACTGGGGATCGAGCCTGCAACCTGGGCATGTGCCCTTACTGGGAATTGAACCTGCTACCTCTTGGTACATGGGATGACATGATGCTCAAATCAACTGAGCCACGCCAGCCAGGGCTTGAATCTTTTCTTTGACTTAATTATGAATATGTAGAATTATGTTTATTTTTTTCAAAAAACAGGAATTCTGACAATTGCTAATGTAATTTTAACTATAGTCTATTGAAAGTTTTTTCCCATTTGTATAGATTGTGATTTTACATTCATTAATTGACTTTGCAGGTGATGGAGAGGTAATTGAACAAATTATAAGCCTACAAACTAATGACAATGGTGAAGGAAGCCCAGAGTCCAGTATTCTGGATGGAATGATAAGACAGTTGCAGCAGCAGCAAGATGAGAGAATGGGAGCTGGTCAGGATAATATTCCAAATGGACTTCCAAATGGGGAAGAAACACCACGAAGAGGTAATAAATATATGAGATATTTTTCCTTAATATGACTGGATTGAAATTGAATAAAGGACGTCATCAGGTACATGTTATATGAAAAACTTGAAGTAATCATGATATTTTCATAAGTATTAGTCTGGAGGTAGCTTTATTAGATGTAGAGTTGATGTGCTAACAAATAGACATTTGATGTTCAAGTACTGTGAAAGGTTTTCTAAAGGAAAACGACAGTTTCTGGGTATCTGTTGCTTTAATTGTTTATAATTAAAAAAAAACACAAACCAATAGTGTAGAGCACTGATGTTTTTTATTGTGAATCAGAAGGCTTGAAGTAAAATTTCAGGGCCAAGTAGTTGATATTGGAATGTAGTAGTGATTACATTAGTAGTGGAAATAATCTAGAGGAGATTAGCAATTATTAGGCAAATGACAGCTCTCTCTGGGAAATTGTTAGGTAAATGCCTGTGAAAGCTTCAAGAAGTCTATCAAATGCCATAAAATCCCAACAGTGAGATATATTCATATATATATTAATTGATTTTAGAGAGGAAGGGAGAGAGACAGAGAGAGAGACATCGATGTGAGAAACATTGATTGGTTGCTTCCTATATCCACCCCAACTGGGGACTGAACCCGAAACCCAGATATATGCCCTGACTGGGAAGTGATCCCAAGGCCCTTCAGTGCACAGGATGACTCTCCAACTGATTCACACTAGCTAGGTCATGGTTCTCTTTTGTTTTAAATTATGATGTTAACTTACATCTATTTATGCGGTCTTCCTCTGTTTTCCTCTACCAAGATAACAATTATTTCGGATGTTGTGTTGGTCCTTTTAAAGTAAATAAAAAATACATTCTTACATGTATTACTAGAAAGCATTTGCTTTCAAACTTTATAAAAAGGTTAGTAGGTTGTACATACTCATTTGAGACTTAATTTTTTCATGTAATGTTACATTTTAAGATTGCTCCATTGTCGCATCAGGTTCATTTTGACTAATGTGTATTACTCCATTGTATGAATATATCTATTTTATTTATTCATTTTCTCAATGGGCTTTTGGGTAGTTTTGAGATTTTGCTAATTGTGAGACGAAATGATGTTAGTAGTCTTGTATGGGTCTCATATACATTTGAAAGAATTTCTCTTGAATATTAATCTCAGAGTGAAATTACTGGGTATGGATACATTGTGCCAAACTACTGCCACAGAGCAGCCCCCAGTTTCTCTGCTGCAGTAGTAGTAGGAGCTTCTTCACCCTGTGTTTTAAGAAAACAAGCACTTTGCCTGGTACTCCCTCTTCCCCTAGACAGGTCTCCACCTTCTGTGACTTCCAGTTCGTGAGAGGGTGCCTTGCCTCCTGTGCCTTCCTGATTGTCTCTGCACAGCTCAGGGCTCACTGTTGTCTGCTTTGCTCTGTCACCCACTCCCCAACTCCAGTTCAAGTGCTGGCAGCATTTCCCCACTTTGCAGTTTAGTGAATTTACTTACTCTGGCAGCTGCCTGTCTGAGTGGCTCAGATTATCTTTGAAGTTGCAGTTAATATTGTTAGAGCTCTTGCTACAAAGCCACCACAGTTTGAGTTGTCTAGCTTCAATGCTAATTTTTCCAAAAAGATGTGGTTTTAAAGAAGGCAAGGTTTTTAGGAATGCAAATATGTTATAGAGAATGTCTGTACATGAAAAAATTTCAGAAAGTCTAATAAAAATAGAAATTGAGATTAATAGTTAATGTTTGTTCTGTAGTTTACATTTTGATCTCAGTCACATGAGGATTCTTTTTCCTAGATTTTTTTCAGTAGATCTTCATTTTTGATTTGTATCTCAGAGGGAATGTATACTATATGCTTATTATATGTTAAATGCGTATAGATTGAACTTTGGGAATTTTTTCTTGACAACTTTTCCCTAGGTTTTAGAAGACTAAGCTTAGATATCCAGTCCCCTCCAAATATTGGTCTGCGTCGTAGTGGACAAGTTGAAGGTGTTCGTCAGATGCATCAGAATGCTCCCCGTAGTCAGATTGCTACAGAGCGTGACCTGCAGGCGTGGAAACGAAGAGTGGTTGTACCAGAGGTACCACTAGGCATATTTAGGTTTGTTTTAGGATATCTATTAATATTGTTTTATCAATGAAAATATATCTATATGGTTATTTACGTATCTTAATCCATTAGTGGTGCAAATAATCATATAAATATATTTTAGTAATGAGTTGAAGTCTATTTTAATTGTGGTAAGAAGGAAGTCTGTTTTAATTGTGGTATAGTGGAAAATACCAAACTTGCTTTCTAAATTCTTTTTTTAAATGTTTTTATTGATTTCAGACAGAGGAAGGGAGAGGGAGAGAGAGATAAAAACATCAATGATGAGAGTCATTGATTGGCTGCCTCCTGCAAGCCCCCTCCTGGGGATAGAGCCCTCCACCTGGTCATGTGCCCTGACTGGGAATCGAACCATGACCTCCTGGTTCATAGGTTGATTCTCAGCCACTGAGCCATGCCAGCTGGGCTCTAACTTTTCACTATGGTAAATTTTTAAAATAATCGATCTTGTTTCATCTACACAGACACCGACTTTTTTTCCCTTCAGTATTATTTTTAAGCCCTAAACATAATTTTGGCGAAAGCATGTCAGTATGTATTTCTAAATGATAAGGAATTGTTTTAAATATAACTATAGTGTCATTATATCTTGAAAACAACAAACAGTTCTTCAGTAGAACTAAATATCTAGTCAGTGTTTACATTTCCAATTGTCTCAAATGCCATAAATGTTTTTAGTTCTTTTGTAAGACTTCATTAGTGGTAGTAGTTTTTCAGGGTTCATAATATATATGTATATATATATTTGTGATGCTAGCAGGCATTGATGCTTACTGCTTAGATTCATTAATTCATTATGGTTTATAAAATTGTGATATTTCAACTCTATGAAGTCTTCATTTATTACCTTGCATACCTCTAAAAAAAATTTTCTCAAGTCTAATATTTGATTATTCAGTAGTGAAGTTTGTATATAAAACACAGGATAGATGTTCACTTATTTTCCTTTAAAGATATATTCCCTGTTATCTTCCAGTAATGACCCAGTTTATGTGTGTTTGTGTTTTTCACTGTGTTGATCACGCTGTTAAGGAATATTTTTAATATTCCTTATTGCTATTTAAGTTGTCCTATCTTTGACCAGGAGGAGCCTTTTCAGTTTAGCTTCTGAGTCCTTTTGGAGTGATTGTAGTAGCCTTTCATTGTATCCTTGCTATTGGGCATGGTAAGGTGTTACAGGTTTATCTTGTGAATTCCTTGACCTAGACCTGGACTTAGTCTTTTCTCTTAAGCAGCTCTGTTTTCTTTCAGTGGGAAATGGTATTTCATAATTATAGTCTGGACAGTGGAATCTTCCTTGCTATTGAGTTTTTGAAATGGAGGCAGCAAGTACTGTTTTTGTTAATATCTTAAACTCAGTATTCTGTCATGTTTGTGTCTTATAATAACTAATACTTTGAAGATAATTTTGTAAAAGTGTTTATGTGTATAGCAAGAAGACTTTCAGTGATTGGTGGAATAATATTGGATTCTTATAAATTGTGCAGTGAATTTGAGAATATTTAAAGTACACAATAAAATAATGAAAAGCAAAATCTGAATTGGCATGAGAAATACAGAAAATCAGTTTCGTGCAAGTAGAATGCTATAATTAAGCCTTAAAATTGTGTCTGAGTTGTACGGTCATCAGAACCCAAAGTGTTATTTTGGGATACTTTTTGTTGTCAAAACCAAGGGAAGCAAACATATCAGGAATGAAAGAACCTGAAGAATAGTTCCTTAAACGTTAAACAAGCATTTGTTCTCTAAACATAAAGGAAGACTGGAAATAGTTTAAGGCTGGAATCATGGTTCCCGTTAATCAGAGACTCAGGTTCCTCTGTTTCTGATCTCCATTTTAGAGTGTGACTTTTAATCTTAAGGTCAACTCAAAGTCCAAGATAGCTGGTCTTTATATACTAGCCATTACATATCTGCATCTGTGAAATACAGGCCAGAAGAAGGAAGAGAGGCAGAAAGTAAAACAGATATTCCTTTATTTAAGCAGCGTTAATGACCCACATGACATTTCTGCTTATTCATTGGCCAGAATGTCATCATACGACCATACTAAGCTACAGAAGAGGCTAGGTAATAGTTTTAATTTAGGGCAACAAAGAACCTAGGTAAAAACTGAGATTCTGGTTCTAAGGAAGAAAGAATGAATTTTGAGAGTCAATTAGCTGTCTACCACAAAGTAATTTTTTCAAAGAAGAATGTTGCTCTTTCTAGTGCTATATTCTGATATACACGTGAGAGCTTGTGAAGGTGATGCTGAGTGATAGAATAGTGGTCAGTGCCCTTGACAACATTCCTTACAGTGGAGAGCAGTGGCAAATCTTACATGACGTTCCAGTGTCATTTAATAAAGATCAAGAGAAGCTAAAAATTTGTTTTCTTCCTATAAAAGTAGTATGTATCCACTGTGAAAAATTTAGGTAGTAAGGTAAAGGCATGAGAAGATAAACTACCGTATTGTGCAGAAAGAGGAGCACACAGTGTTGCTTCCTAGCAGAGGAATTCTGTTTGGGGCTAGAGTTCAGGAATATAGTTTGTGTTTATCCAATAATAAACTTCTGTTCATTCTAAAATCTTTCATAATACCACTTTTCTTAGCTGAGTGATATTAGCGATTCATTAGGCATGGAATTGCACACAAAGATGATACTTTTGAAGGCTAGAGTGTTCCTTTGTTTTATTGTTAAGAATGAATTATATGTAGTGTTTTGTAAAAAGATATGGGATAGGAGTTTCATTTGGCCGCAAGTGAAAAACCTGATATAATCCCTTAAGTACTTATAAAAGTGGTGAAATTGACAGCTTGTGAAAGGTTGAGTCTAATTTAGAATTTCCCTGTGGATAGAATAATGTTCCACTGTAATTTGAGTGTGGGTTGCAGATGAACCTTGAGAAAAAAGTGATTTTCTTAAAAGTCCGTTTTTGTTCTTACAGAATTTGTGCTTATACTCATTTGATTGTCCAGTTATTTCTTGGGGCATGGTCATGATGTCAGTTTTGAATCTTTTCTGGTGGGATTTTAAAACGAACAAAAACAAGGCCATGTGATTTCAGTAATGTTCAACTTGGAGAATGAGGACCTTCACTCATTCTCTAAGCATGGAGAAGGAAAACAGTGATCAGGAGTACCTTCCTCGTGGTGAAAGGGTCCCCTGCTCTGAAATTGGTCACAGTAACATTATACTGTTCTTTTGTATTATGTAAGTAAAATACAGATGATTAGAAAAAGTAGGAACATTGCTATTCTGGTTTTCTGCAAAGGTATAAAACATGCATTGTGAATAGGTTAGAGGAGGATTCTGCTCTTATTTTTTCTTTAGAGAAAGGAATTTTAACCTTGGAAAATTACAGGGACACTTTGAGTAACTAATTTGAGAGATCCTGTTTGACTTGGTTGAGATAGGGCCAATCAGAATACAAGCAAATGACCATTTCTGTGTAAAATATGAAAAATAGGACTTCCTAACTGCTGCTGAGAATTTAAATTTTCATATTAGATTTCTAACATAAAGTACAGCTTGACTTAAGTTTTTCTCTAACTTTAGGAAATCCTATATTAATTTAAAAAGTAGTATATAAGCTTATGATTTCTAAAATCATGATGATTACTTTTTCCTGTTAATATCCTCTACTTATCCATCAGTTCAGTAACTAATATAACCGGGTAATTAAATTTCTAGGAAATTGGAAGACTTCAGAATAGAGAAAGGTGAAGAAGAAAGAAGTCTTTATGTAATTGGAAGAAAAAAGAAGACTCTTCAGCTCTCACAAAAGGTAACCTAAATTCTATTTTTCTTAATAATAAGCAAATTAGAAATTAAACTGGAATTCTTAGTTTTCTTTTGATCGGTGAAAATATTAGTAATTTTCACCTGAAATAGAATAATATATCTTGCTTAAAGCCTTCTGTGTGGGATTTAGAATAGTAGACATAAGGTTGTACAGCTGTTAGGAAAGATTAATAGTTTGAAAACTTGAGGAAAGTAGCCTGGTGCCTAATAGTGTTAACAGATTCTAGGAAATTACTGTCTAATGACCACTCAGGTCAAGAACTAGAACATTACCAGCCCATCAAAAGTATTTTGTGTTCATTCCCAATCACTACCCTCTCCTTTCTCCCATAGGTAACCAACAGTCTTCTAAAACTGTTGGTTAGTCTTATTTATGAAGTTATCCAAATCATGCATCTGTAAAAATTTTTAGATATTACAATGGTTTGTAACCCTCTAAACTCAAGAAAATTTTATTCCTTAGTATTTAATTTCTATTTGGAGTTTCTTGAACATCACATGAACAGCATTAACATGGAGTTCATGGAAAATACACAAAGTGTATGTAAGATTAGTGCTACAAAACTGGTGAAAATGGTTGCATATGTGCACGATTTTCTCAGACTTGATCACAAGGATGAACTAGTTCCTTGGGAGTACTGTCTAATTCTTCGTAGCCTTGTTAAGTATAGAGTGCCCTCAAACTGATTTTTTTTTTAACAGATTTTTTTTTTTTTTTAACAGATGATTTATTCTTTTGAGTGGTAGTTTTCATCCAACTGTGTTTACACATTATAAGTTATCAAACTTATTAATATTAACGAGTTTTTGCTTTAACAAAAATTACTATTGACAAATTAAGGAAAGTGTAATTCATTTAAAAATCAGCCAGTAATATGTTGAAATGATAATACACACTATTGATTATCAAACAAGTTACTAATGTGCCAATTTATTTGTATATTACCAAGGACTATGTGCTTTTATTGAGTGATTTCACATATGACTTTAGTGTTTGAGGAATATAGTTTGCCCCTACCCCCCTTTAAAATACACTCTAGCCTGGCCTGATGGGCTCAGTTGGTTGAGTGTTGTCCTGTGTACCAAAAGATTGCCAGTGTGATCCCTCGTCAGAGCATGTATGGAAGGCAACTGATTAGTATTTCTCTCTCTCCACACGCACACACACCCCTCTATCTTTCTCTCTTCCTTCCTCTATCTAAGCGTGTCCTTGGGTGAGGATTTAAAAAAAATTTACAACGTCAGTATTTTATTTGGATGATTTTTAAAAATTATTTAATTATTTTGTTTTGATAAAAATATATTTTAAAAATGTAAGCAGAATTGACAAGTACCAATAACAAATCATCCAAAAATTTTAAACCTGGACATAACTAGGGTTAATATTTGAGGATTATTTCAGATAGTATTTCTCTATACCTGTGTATACACATAGTGATATATTTTTTACGGCTGGTTACTGCATTATAATACATATTTTCATTTTTAAGATATATAAAGTGATAAACTTTTTGGGTCATTATTCATGGTCAGCTAATTAACTTAGTTTTATTTGGAAAATGCTCATCTAAAGTGTCTAATTTAGCCACGTCTTCTAAGTATCTTAGAAGACAAAGATTGATTTAATAGCATATGGCAAAAATAAAATCCATTAAAGAATATCTTCCAACTATTATTATTATTTATTTTTTGCCTTAAATCTTTTTGGGAATTTGATAGAATGTGTATTTGGTTGAAATTGTGGTAATTTAGGTATTGATTTTAAAAAAAATTTATCTTTATTGTTGAAAG